GAAATCATTTAAACTTTATCAGAGAAATAGTTAACTTAAAAATAATCATATGTGCACATTCTAAATTAATCTTAAGTCTGATCGTATAAAATTGTTTCATCAGCTGTTTCTTTTACTTAATACTTTTTAAATATATTCTTGTTTCAATAAGTGTTAGTTCTACCATATTCGAGATTAAGTCAAGGTTAAATATAGACCCTCTTGTCCTTTAAATAATCTCAGAAATGCAACAACTCCATAAAATATGTTCATAAATATCATTGAGTATATAACATTCTCATAAAAATTCTCTTACCTCTGTAAGACAAACCCCTCTATGGATATGTTCTCATTTTTATATTGACACTAATATAGATAAGATAGGTATTATTCTACACAAAATCTAATCTCTCTTTCAGTAATAGCATTATCAGGATAAAACTTCACTCCATATCCTTCTGGATGCGAGTTTTCTCTCATTATACTACCTAAGAAACTTCCGAGACCTAAATAGGTTGGAGCAAATAGAGGGTCTTCATAATCAATTATAATAATCTTAGATTGATCAGCTGCAAATTTCAATATGTTACCTTATTAAACATCATAGTGTGATACTCTTACTGAATCACTAGTAATATCCTCCTTAAATATTCTTTCTAGGTAAGCAATCTAATTCTAGTCATAATACTCCCTCTTTACTACTCCAAACAGTTCTTAAATATCATCATCACATTCTCCAATATATCCCTCGATTTGTTCAATTTTAGTTTGGAATTTTGGATAAATTGCATCCTTAAACTCCATGAGCAAAGTTTACTTCTTGCCCTTATAAAACTCAGTCAAAAATTTATTAAGCTCAGAGTTATGCTCAAACTCGACTAATTTTTACACAATTGAACTCATATAATAAGGATTTCTCATTTCATAAATTCCCATTGGGATTAATTCCAAAAAGCGCTCGATTCTAAATTAATCACACTGAAAATAAATTTCTGGTCCCCAACCCTATTCAGATAATATCTCAGCAAATTTCATTTCCTTTTGCAAACCTGGTCTTCTTCCCTCAATATGTAACTTTAAAATTACGGGATTGTTTATGGATTTTTCAGTTAGTTTATTTTTTAGTAGAAAAGTTGTCCCTGTGAATCCCCCTGGAACTGATATTTCTAAATCTGTCTTTGATTTGACATTTTGCCAATTCTTTAAATTCTCTGTGAGAATTTATAGAAATTAGTCATTAAGAAAGCAATTATCCATTTAATATTATCATTTAAAATCAATTTTAAATTCAAATAACTTTTAAAATTAGTCAGCTGGGGTTTTGGGGTTTTGGGGTTTTGGGGTTTTGGGGTTTTGGGG